ACTTGCGGTCAGAGCCGGCCACGTTCCGCTTCAACTCTGTAACAAAAAATTCACATTCGCTCGTCAGATTTGACCAACGAGTACGGGCGAGTAAAAGAGTAGTTTACCCTCTGCGATCGTAATTCAACTCGAGCCGGAAATTATATCCCAGCTCTAGATCGCCAAGGGTCAAACAGAGGACTATAACTTGTAAACTTACCTTCAAGCCGACTCTGCTTGGCCCGAATCGGATCCTCCGATGCGGCATCCGCGTCCGTCGGATTGCTGTTGCTTTCCGCAACAACTGAAACAGAAAAATCATTTTCCCGGTTGATAATCTGCGGTAGAGAGAGAATATATTTGATCGGGACGAATCGAAAATACGGAAATATTTTGATACGGAATTTTTATCTTTATGTTATTGTTCCAACATTGAAAATTTAAATGAGACTTGAAGGTTTCAAGAGAGCTGATGAGGAACAAATTGCAAAGGCAAAGATCGTAAAGGGTTGAATATAGATGTGTAGGAAACTTGTAAACTTTACCTTCCGACCGACTCTGCTTGGCCCGAACCGGATCCTTCGGTACGGCATCCGCATCTGCCGGATTGTTGTTGCTTTCCGCAACAACTGAAACAGAAAAGTAGTTTTCCCAGTTGATAATCTACGGTAGAGAGAGAATATCTTTGATCAAGACGAATTGAAAATACGGAAATATTTTAATATGGGATTTTTATCTTTATATTTTTGTTTCAACATTGAAAATTTAAATGAGACATGAAGCTTTCAAGAGAGCTGATGAGGAATAAGTTGCAAAGGCAAAGATTATAAAGGGTTGAACATATATGTATAAGAAACTTGTAAACTTTACCTTCCAGCCGACCCTGCTTTGCCCGAACCGGATCCTCCGGTGCGGCATCCGCGTCTGCAGGACTTGCTTCCGCAACACCTGGAACAAAAATTTAACATTCCTGGTTGGTGATCTACGGTAGAGAAAGAATGTTTGGTCGGGATGAGTGGAGAATATTCGCTACGGTTTTTTTTTTTTTTTCATTGACATTGAAAGTCTAGATAGGACTTGAAACTCTTGAAAGAGCTGATGAAAAAAAATGACAACAAGAAGCGGTGACAACAGTTGTGTGCTCTCGAAAATACTCTTTTACGAATGGACATTTAAATTTAGATCCCGTAACGAGAGTAAACAGACTTGAAAGAAGCGCTGACCGAAAACACAAAAGATCGCAGTCTAAGAAGCGGTATGACGTTGAATATTCTACACAAGACTGGTATACTCACACAGTTGGAAATTATTCAGAATGTTTGATTGAGAACATGATGAATTAGAGATCCGCGTTCATGGACCGTTATCCGTCTCTGTCTGGATCAATATCTCTTGTATATAACAACGCAACAACGCAATAAATAGATAGAGATTGACGAGAGTAATTGCAGATTCCTAAAGTCATGATTATTAGTCGGATGATAACAGATTGTGAATGCCGAGCGCGAAATTCCGACTTCTTATTCCCGGAAAATTTGTCAAACGTCCGCTCTCGTTATCGGAGACCTCTCGCATAATAAATGATTCCACATACCTGAAAACGTGACGTATCGGTGCCGGCGTCCTGCTTCCCGGCTGCTGTGGAGTCCTTCGGATTTCATTCGCGTTTCTAATGCCGATACTCGCGATTCGACCATGTGGTTAATCAACGCGATGCCGACGCGATGTCGATTGAGTATCTCGAGGACCGACGAGATACATTTCTTTCAATTACACGAGACGGAAGTGACGAGTGCGTCGCGCACGGCTGCTGCTGATGGAATAAGGTCGTGTACACGAGGTACGCGACTATTAATACGAAGGGCAAAAAGTGTCGTCGCTTGCGAGCCAATCAACACAATCGGCGCGATGTAAACATTGCGGGCCTTAGCGGCGGTTGAAGCAAGAGAGACTTGCCCTTGGGCGTCTCTTCCTTTCTCGAAGGTTCCGAAACGACGAGGGGAATGCGAGGAGTCCTTTCAACTGTACGCGACATTGATTTACTATTTATTGATTACTTAAAATAAAGAAAATTACTCTCTGTCGAAGCATCGGACATTTGTTAGCTTTATGTTAATTAAAGAGGAATGTATACGATTAGAAAATGTGTTAGCAACAAATTGTACAGAGTGTCAAAATTGTTGTGACGTCGTTTTCGAAGAATAATTAAAGGTCATGGTAGCATTAACACTTTGCCGGCCGCTTACTTCTCGCATCGCTTTTACACTGCCGCCGGCGAATTTCGCGCGAGTTCTATTGCTCGCCGACGATGATATTAAAGAATGTCAAGAAAAGACAATCGGGATAGTTAAAACAGAAGCATAGTGGAAACATTGTTGCCGCGCTGAACCGAAGTCATGCGTACATGACAGCGGCCGATAACCGTCGGCGAGCAAAAGTCACGCGTACGTGACAGCGGCCGGCAAAGTGTTAAAGAGAGGAATTTCATCCAATGCGAATTTTGTCTCGTTCTTATTAAATGTTAGATTATCCGCTGCGGACAATAACTCTTCTATTTTTCATCTAATATTCAACGATGATAAATAACATTTAATTATATTCGTTTGGCTTTTTTTAGTTTGAAAATAAAAAAATATATATATATAAATATATAGGATGAGATTTCACCCATGACAACATCAACGTGATTTTCTTTGATCCTCTTTTTAAAAGTTCAGTCATTTCGTCAACTCACGGGATATTTATAATCGGAGTCTCGCCGCGTTAATTAACACGTGCTCCTCTGAGCAGATCGAATGCTCACCGACGGCCACTGTCAGTGCGAATGTCCGGAGCGGTTGGGATGCTGAATTGAGAAGCAGGACGAAGGGAATGGGACGCAGGCAACGATATATCATGCGTCTCCAGACGTCAAATCGTGTCAAATCGTTTATTATATAGGAGACTTTGATACGGTAAAATGTATTTGAAGATTTAATATTTAATACGTACTTTTATTTTTCCTGATCTTCCTCCCTCCCCCCTCCCTCCGCTCCTTTTAGACCTCCTTTTAGACCGGGCATAATCTGGCATAGAAATAGCAACTATGGTTGCAGCACGGACATAAACTGCCTGAAATTGGATGTAGCACGGACTTCCACCACATACAGATTTTACCACCAAAACCTGAAAGTGGCTGTAGCATCGTTCGTAATTCCCCTCTCAAAATGGATGCAGATGGCGTCCTTTTTTTTTTGGTCACGCAGGGGAAATCCATCATGGATACCCCCACCCCCTTGAGGGGCGGGGGTTATGTCGGACTCCTACCGACTAAAACCCCTGCGGGATGTCTACCTGTCGGACCGTGAGGAGGGGAGTTAGGGGAATTGCTCCCGCATTCCCTTCCCAACCCCCCGGCCACAGGGCTCCCTTTCGGGAGCCCCTCGCCACCTATGTACCGCACCCTGTTCCACGGAGGGAATCCAGGGCGCGGTCCCCGGCGGGTTGCCCCGCCGGTTGGCCTTCTGGTGTCACCAGTGAAGGAGAGAGGGGACATCCACCCTCTCTCCTTACCCTCCCTCCCTGCTAGTCAGGGAGGGGAGGATTTGTGGGGGAGTGGGCCCAGCCCCAACTGGGACACCATTCCCCCCTGTCACTACTCGTCCGATCGCTCGGGGGGGAAGGCAGGGAAGGTGGATCACCACCCCCCTACTCCCCCCTTGCACCGGTGGCGGGCCCGAGGCGGTCGAGGGACCCTCGCGAGTCGATGAGTTCTCCTCCTCGACCAGCGCTGCCTCGGGCCCGTTGTCGCGTCCCCCTACCCCCGGGAGGCTCCGACCGTTCCGGCGCCGCTCTCGGCGCCTTCCCCGAGTTCGCACGCACACACACACACACACGCGCGCGCGCACAAGAGGTGTAAATCCGATCGTGCAACCTCCATGCGGTACACCTTGGGTAATGCTAATGCCGACGATACTGTAAATTTGAAGCTTCATAACTCGGGATGTACTTAACAAAAAACTACTTTGTTGTAGTGTTTTGGAAAGCTCTTGAAATACGTTATAAGAATATGCCAAAAAAAGTAGGGCATTCCATTTGAAAAATTGTTGGTGACCTTCACGTAACCTTCAAATGGCTAATCAAGGTCTAATCAATGATACCTTCTTATGTCCCATTTGACACCATACAACTTTTGTCTGAAACATTTTTCTCTAAAATCATTCATTTCCAAGATATAAGTCTGTAACACTTTAATTGACTCACCCTGTATATTATTAAATGAGGTTATATTAGCTGTCAATATACATTTATTTTATCCATATAAAAAAAATATCAAAACAGCCAAATAATATTTAATAATTTCATAAAAATCACTATACTATTTTATCCGTTGCCGAACGTTTTTAGCTAAAACATTAAAGATAGTATAACACAATCCTTTATAACCGAAGATTCCCGATCTGTCATAGAAAAGCTACTAGGTAGTACGAATTATTATAAGCATCAACTTTCCAGTCTTATCTATTTTTTTTTCCTTACTTACGCCTTTCTATGGCTATAAAATTACGTAGTACCATCACAGATTTCTCTCTGATTGGAACACAGCCTTTGTCTGCTGAACGCGGTCATTAGAAGTTGTCCGCGCGGTCTCGAAATATTTCTTCCCGAATTACGGGCAACGTGTTGAAAGATGAAAAAGCGAAGGGGCAAGACAGGAGAGGTTCTAGTTTAGCGATAAGATTTGCCACTGATTCGCCTCGTGCCTCCTCCTGCCGCGCGTACGCTCATCGATGGTACGATAAAGACAGAGCGATTGATCGTCTATGCTTTTCTATCTTACTATCTTCCTTAAGGAAGTAGAGTGAGCAAGAACCGTGCACGCTTTGCCGTCAAGACGGGCGTAGTGTGCACACATTTTCTCAGGGGGCGCGTCGGAAAAGGCGTCACGGCGTAACCGGTTCGTTGGCCGCTCTCAAGATTCTCTCTGATACAAAATAACGTTCACAAAATTTTGTTTGGCTTACCATTCTATGCACATTTTTGTTCTTTTGGTTGCAATAGTTTAAAGAATTCGGTGCTCACAAGGTGCTAGCAAGGTCTTTTAGTTCATCAGACGTTGGTGTATTGTGAGGATAGCACTGGCTAGAACAATTGTATGTATAATTGAATAATATGCGAAATATTTATCACTTGTACTATTACTTGCACTATCACTCGTACTATCACTCGTACTATCAAATTATAAGCATTTTTAACAATGTACTCTGCAATGTTACAGCGTAATAATAGGTTGCGATGGCTGCTCGCTCGATCCTCAGGTATTTACGTCCGAAATCCGTGTTGGTTCAGAAACACCGATGCGCTTCTTTGTCGGGTTTTGATATCCAACACAAAACACCTACTATCAAGAAAGTGATGGCCATACCAAAGGCTCATTACGGCGGCAGGCATACTGTTACTATGTTACCTGGAGCTGGTATCGGGCCAGAATTGATGACTTATGTCAAGGAGGTATGCAATTTTCATTCTTGAATTCTTTAAATTCAGGGTGTATTTGTTCCGGATGGATACTACGTCGTAATTCAGCTTTGTGCCGACGTTTCGCAAATATTACAGCTTGCATCATCAGGGCTAGCAGCTTTGATACGGAGCTCTGATTACATTATTTTACAATATCAAATTGCATTGTGATTAGAGGTATATGTATCGTTAGCCTATTATTTGAAGCAAATATTGGATTAAAGCTATGGGAATATGCCACATGTTTATATGTAGGTTGTCTGACACAACAGAAGTTATCACACTAGATAAGATTTGTTTGTATCATTTTGTAACTAACTACAATAGTTACTGAAGTATGGGAAAAAAATAAGCAAATGACTACATATAATACAGGGATCAGCTTGAGTGGATGACATATAATGCTATATAGTGGAGGTACCATGATGCTTCTTGGAACAATTATATTTTTTTTAGGTCTTCAAATATGCTGGTGTGCCAGTGGATTTTGAGGATGTTGACATTGATCTGAATGCAGATGATAATTTGGATTTGGATTATGCAATCACATCAATTCGCAGGAATGGAGTTGCGCTGAAGGGTAACATAGAGACTCGCAGCACAGAGGCTGGTGTGATCTCCAGAAATGTTGCACTGCGGAACGAACTGGATCTTTATGTGAATGTGCTGCACTGCGTGTCTTATCCAGGTGTTAATTGCCGCCAAAAGAATATTGACATTGTAATCGTCCGGCAGAATACCGAGGGCGAGTATGCAATGTTGGAGCACGAGAGTGTGGATGGTGTGATCGAAAGTATGAAGGTGATTACGAGGTCCAACTCGGAACGCGTGGCGCGCTTCGCCTTCGAGTATGCCAAAAGGCACGGTCGCAAAAAGGTAACGACGGTGCACAAGGCAAACATCATGAAACTGTCAGATGGCTTGTTCCTGGATATCTCGCGACGCGTTGCCAAGGACTACCCGGAAATCGCGCACAACGACATGATCATTGACAACACGTGCATGCAACTGGTTTCGAATCCGCATCAGTTTGACGTTGTACTCACGACTAACTTGTACGGCGCCATCGTGTCGAATGTAGTGTGTGGCCTGTTGGGTGGCGCTGGGCTATTGGCCGGAAAGAATTACGGTGACCACTATACAGTCTTTGAGCCAGGCACTCGCAATACCGGCACGGCGATCGCTGGTAAAAATATCGCCAACCCGATCGCGATGCTGAATGCTGCAGTTGATATGCTGCGTCATCTTGGTCACAAACATCATGCCAGTATCATTCAGAACGCAATCAATAAAACCATCAACCAAGGCATACACACACGCGACCTCGGTGGCAGCGCGACCAGCCGCGAAGTCCTCGACAACATCTTGAAGAATATCAAGATCGCGATCGTTTAAAGAAAGATTGATAATGTTTCGTGTTTTTAGCTAAAACCGTGCTTCTAACAGCCATTCTCCCGGGAATTCTGCGATCAGCGATTAGAACGCGCTCATGGTATAAGCAGATCCGATGATCTCGCGCGGTTTTTTCTTTTTTTTTTTTTTTTAGTGAGATGACAAAAAGATCTAGGTAGGATAATTACGATGAAGCGACGCTGTAAATGGACAAAGGAATGAAACACGCGAGCGGGTGAATCTTTCGCGTTCTCTTTTCTTTTTAATGAAACGACAAACAATCTCGCACAAAACCTCTGCGGAAATATCGGAGCGCATTGACAGATAGCTCTAAGCGGGACTCGTGGCGTTCTGTTTTATGACTCTGATAACTTACGATAACGATCGGGATTTTGTAAAATATATATTGTATATTATAAGTGATATAGTAGTTCCTATAGGCACAATTACCAAATACCACGATCTCACCAATCGTCGGTGGGAGGAGCAATGTTTGCGAAGATACATGCGAGATACTCTGTTGTTGTTGATACAATACTCAGTGACCCTCGAATAAAAGAAATATGGTTATAATTTATTAAACTGACAGGAGTTCGTTCGTGTTTCGTCGCCTTAGTAGAATTCTATCCAGTTGAACAGAAATATTTCGACGCCAGTGTAAAATTGTCAATAGTTCAAACTGTAATCATTACGTTGTAAAATGTACATACTGCGTAAGGTTACATCGCGTTCTTGAATAAAGTGTAAATTTATTAAAATAAAATATAAATTTACATTTCTAAAGACTTTCCTGTGGAATTCAATTATGTAACAATTGCAACGCTAGTTCCTCATCAATTTGCAGATTAGTGTTGTCTGACATTTTCTGCCTCTTTTGCGTTTTCCTGTGTTGTTTTTTCGTTAATTTTCTTTTGAATGGCCTATGACAAAGATGGACAATTAAGTGACAAATTTTTTTATCAAAAAGGAAATATAATTTAAGTTTAAATAGTTGAATTTTTATCTATAAACTAAAAATGATTGTAATTTCATTATCAATTACGTTAAAGTTACGTAAATTTTTATGTAGTATAAGATAATGTCTATCCAGTAAAGTAAAATCTGTGTATGATAATACAATATATTAATATGAAAATAATACTGATATGATAATCCGATATTTTTAAAAAATATGAAAATTATGTTACATATGATATTACATATGATAATGTTAAATTATTAGAATATAGAGATGATTCAGAACAACTTGCTATCCTTGAAATGACATGTTCTTGAATGAATTCTAAAACGATTTTTCCTCTTATAAAATTTTATTCGAAGCTTAATTTTTGGGTTATAAAGATAAATAATTTATACTTATTACAGGTTGAATACAGAAGGTAGGCAAGAACGGCAGAACTTACCGTCAAACATAGACACTGACTACACTGAACGCCTAATGCAATGAACTTATCGATGTACGTAATAATATTCCATACATCATTTTTATGAGTTCTGTTAATGATCGTATCGAATACTACGAGGGGAGTCTGCGAAGCTGATACGCATTGCTCTCCTTTACAAACATATAATTGGACATGAAGCGTATGATTGCATAGCAAAATGCAATAATTGATGGCAATGTTGTTGCAATAACACAATAACGAATGAAGTGTTTGCAATTAATTGTTATATTAAATTAATTATATAAAATTATAAAATTTTATAAAATTAAATTGATTATAATTAAATTAAAATGACATGTTTTAAAGATAAAACATTTGATTATGCGAGCATTTTTTCCGGACCAGAAAATAAGCTTTGAAAATATATAAAATAAGAAAAACGGGAAATATAAACGAGAAAGAGTGATAATCATGATTTAAAAAGCATAAGATATTTTTACTTTCAAGAAAATCAGCGAACTTATATTTCTTTGTAAAAATTATTTATCTTGAGAATAGCTTTTACTATATATTAGTTCCAGTTTACCACATTTGTTCCCGTAATATTAAGTTTTATTTTTAATTTTATATTCGATTCGATCATGAGTTGTGGACTTTTCTCCTCGTGGTAGACAAAATTAAAGAGAGCAGAGGTTAATACTCTGTCAGCCACAGTCTAATGGAAGTTATAAAAATGATGTATGCAATGCTATTATGTGCACTGATAAGCTCATTGCATTAAGTGCTTAATGCAAGTATCTATCTCTGACAGTGAATTGTGCCGTCCTTACTTACCTCCTGTACCCTTAATAAATAAGCTACTTCTCTTTATAATTCAAAAACACCTTCGGATAACATTTTGTAAAAGGAAAAATCGTTTTAGAATATGTTTAAGAACATGTTTCAAGAATAGCATTTTTAAATCAATCTGTATATCTTAATCTAATTAATCTAATATCTTCATATATTACAAGCCTGATTGTCATTTATATACATTGCCGAATTTAAGATCATTTAATAGAAAATTACCGTTTAGTACGCGTGTCAAACAATCGATATAAACTAGTATGTAAAAAATTTCAATTTTTTACCTGTGAACTATATTCTCTTCGTCCGATCCTTCATTCTCCTCAGATTCCTTATCTTCTGTTTCCGTGTCTTCTCCCTTGAATTTGTTATCATTCTTTTCTTCGTCTATATCTCGTTGTTTACCGTATATTTTATCCGGGTCAGGTAACCATGACATGTCCGGGCCTTCGCTAGATTCAGCCTCGCTGATAACATTGTTATCTATATCTTCCTCCGCTTCTTCCTTGTCGTTCAAATTCACCTTCATTTTCTTTGCAGCTTTTAATTTCATCTTTTCCTCTCTGTGTTTTGCTCTAATCCTCTCTCGGTGTCTTTGTTTATCAAATTGATCTTCCTCACGCAATATTTGCTTGGACATTTCAATGTTTATGCCAGAGTCTGCCTCGTTCTCATATTTTCGAGCCAATTCTGACATTTTCATTCGCGCAGAGTCGATTAATTCCTGGAATATGGACATCAATCATTAATTTTTTACATCTTTACGATCACGTACCACGCATAGTTGATATTTAAAACATATATATATATATATAATATTCTACTTTGTGTTATATTGACTATATATATAGTTAATATGCGCACGTATATAAGACATTCTTATAGTTCTATATATTAATAGATTACAATGATAGTGATCCTTACCTGTCCCTCATCATCAAATACGGTCTTTTTGTTAACTGCAACTTTTTTCTTAAGTATTTTCTTAGCCAATTCAGCCTTTGTAATGATTTTTTGTTTCTTTAAAGTCCTATTCTCATTATCCTTTATCACTGACATATCATTAATATCTATATTTTCCCTCTTTACTATCAAGAGATCATCATCGTCGCTAGGAACATCTGAAAGAGGAAAGTGTGAGAATTCATACGTAGTTGGCGAACTGCTTATTGAACTTATTGTCTTAGACTGAATAAATGTTAAAAGAGCATTTAATTTGCTCACCGAACTGAAGAGCGGCCATATCTTGTCCTTTGACCGTTCTTTTCTTTTCCTCTTTATTAGTATCGAAAATATTATTAATAAAAGCGTCTTTGCTATTTTCCTCTTCGCTAGCGTTTAACGAATTAATTGAATTCTTATCTGATTTCTCTTCGCTCTTGACGTTATTGTTGATTATTTTTTTTTGTATCCTCTGTAAAAATCGTGTTCTTGGTGTGATAACTAAGCCTAAAGACCTGTAGAAAAATTTTATTATGAAGAAATATTTGATCATATAACGACATTGAATAATTTTATCAATACTTACGCAGCATATGCGTCTTTATCTAAAGCATGTATATTGAAGATCTCTTTATTCTTCATGAGGAAAATTGATTTTATGTATGATATAAAAGCTCTCTGAGCGGTTTCTTTCAAAGATACATCTCGCGCTAATAAAATTTCTAATTTACGTTGCGGCGAGTGTAGTTTGTTCGGATTAATTCTAGACACAAAGAGAGGCACATGTAAGATAACAAATGCAAAAGTATCTTAGAATGAAAGTTACGAGTCACTTACTCGATCATATTTATAGGGATTTTACGTTGTCGAAGCTTCTCGATCATGACTTCTTCTGATGGTAATAAGACCAGAAGGGACTCACCGCCGCTTTTAAACCTGGCCGTTCTACCTACTCTGTGTATATATGCGTTGACGTCTTCTGGACAATCCATTTGAATCACCCAATTAACGGCGGGAAAATCTAAAAATTTGTAGTTGACAAATTATTCAATTGCACAAAGGTAGAATTTTGTGAAATTATTTTTATGGTATGGCCTCTTTCAAATTAATATTCTAAGCCAAATGTTTTAGATAGAACTCTGTTACCTAATCCACGAGCTGCGATATCAGTGGCGAACAGAACAGCATGTTGTTTCTTGCGAAACGTCTCGTAAATGCTCATTCGTCTCAATTGATGAAGCGTGCTGTAAAGACCTAACAAACTGATACCAGGTCGCAATCGGCAAAATGCTTCATATACATACTTCACCTGAAATCGATATTTTTCATAAATAAATTATGTTAATTTATTTGTCACTGTAGTATAAAAAATGCACTTGCGATACTTGTTTACAACTGGAAAAGAATACTATAATCTTCTGTTTCAAGTGATTCCGTATAAACGACCATAACATTGCCAATTTATCCTCTAAAGCACATACAATGTAACTCTGATGTAGACTTTCTGGTGTAACATGTGCGGAATACTCATGTGCAGATATGTATAGTGGATCTCTAAGACTTAATCTTGCCAGATCTTTCACTGATCTAATGATAATATTTAATATTACTTATACTAAGAACTTATATTAAGATACATAGACTTTGTTTCAATGTAATTATTTCTTAACACATACTTTGTCTGTGTAGCTGAGAAAAGTAAAGTTTGTCTTTTGGGTGGCAAATTTTCAATAATAGCATTCATTGTCTTCTCAAAACCCATGTCCAAACAACGATCTGCTTCATCCAATACTAATATCTATATTTTATTAAAATATAACTATTAATTTTACATTTAACATTTAAAATTTTATATTTAACATCTATCTAATCAGCTAATTAAAAATAGAATAAATACTTCTTGTGCCTAAATTTACCTTTGATATTTCAATTTTAATTACCTGCATGTTTACACAATTGAATAACTGATTTTCATCCATATGCTGAAGTAAACGCCCTGGTGTGCATATAATTACATTGTACTGATCCATACGTTTAGCTTCGAATTTTAAATCCTTTCCTCCTATAATCAGACCAGTTGAGAAATCATGGTATTGACCCACTTTCCGCAAAGTATCATATATTTGATACGCCAATTCTCTCGTCGGTGTGATGACAAGTACACCTAAACCATCTAATTTTGTCCACTGTTTACAGTACAAGATTTCTAAAATCTAAAAAAACAATCTATTCATATTCATTTGTTTACTTATTTGTTTAATATATAATTCATGAATATATCGTGATTCTCTCAGCAGCATAGGAAGTATTTGTAAAAATCGTACCGGTACGAGGAAAGCCAAAGTCTTGCCACTCCCAGTCTTTGCGGCTCCTAAAATATCATTGCCTTGCAAAGCCAAACCAATACTTTGCCTCTGAATGTCTGTCATCTCAACATAATCGCTATTTGTTAATCCCTTCAAAGTGCTTTTCGATAAAGGTAGATCGCTAAATTTTATCGTTTTTGTAACGTCTATCTGTAAAGGATATAGCAGTTTAATTTTGTCTAATTGTAGCATCACGTGTTCATCATAGCATTAAGGTATATTTGAAGGTTATATTTACATCTTTATATTTGAATTGCAGTTCCTCGATTATTTTACTTTCTGGTATACGCTTCTTTTTTACGTACGCTTTTACTTTTTTTTTATTAGCCATTGCTATTTGATTATATTTAAAACTTATTGAATAATGGTATTATTTCACTTTGTTTTAAGGATCTACAGCAGGCCCCTGGCACCAGTGTTGCTAGATGCAATATATTGCGACGCTACAGCGCATGCGTGAGATGACGTAGCTCTACGAAAGTATATGCCAATAACGGCAATAAAGCGCATCGCAGGGTCCATGGAGGGACCCACGCTATCCGATCAGCTGTCTTCCCGCATAGTTTTCCCGCGTTTCTTGCGCGAGTGCCTTATCTCAGGTTATGTTGTCCAGTGGATACTAAATACAGTTAAGTTACATTAACATTATAATTTGTCACTCGACCATGTCACTGTTACATAATACTTGTATTATGTAACAATGACATTGTTAAGTAAAAAATTGTAATGTATATTGAGAATTACTATCGAACTAATTGAAATAATCACGATTTAGATTATCTAATTTACTCGATTGCAATTCTCAATGCATAGTATAATACAGGCGCTATAATACCTTAAAAGAGATACGATACTGAGACTTTTACTCAAGCAGCGTGCACTGAATGCACTCGTTGAGTGTCGTGAACGCACCCAATATGAATCCTCCATTAGGGCCGGTTGTTCCAACTTCTTGGTAGGTTAACTGATAGTTAAATCATATGTTTGTCTTCGTTTTTCCTTCAATTTAGACAGAAACAGAGATATGATTTAACTATCAATTAACTTACCACGAAGTTGGAACAATTGGCCCTTAGTTGAGTTACACCCATATTCATAGTCAAGCCTTATATTTAAGACTTCCTTAAGTTTATCTTCAGATGGTCTGTAGCCAATAAAATAATTCGTGCAGCATCTAGAGATAAATATAAGGAAGCCTCAAATATAAGGCCTGACTATGAATACAAGTATTAGTATATATTTCAGTGATTTTAACACGTGGATTTAATATGTGTTTATATGTCCGTAACAGTTAAATTATATGTAGACACAGATTGCCATTTATATGCGAAATATGTTATTACATTAAAGCATATTTAAGTAAGCGATACAAAATTTGTTATAAAACATTTATTAATGACTGAAGTTAGTTACAAGGTAAATCATATGTTTATAACCTTTTTATGATTATTTGATGGGATTTTTGTATTTTAATGCTGATAGTGTCATTATTGGTCACTGTTTACAATAAAAGTTTTATTAAAATCTTAGAATAAACATATTAAAATATGTATGTACAATATATATGTATTTGATGTTTGTCAGTATTTTGTGAATTATTTTATTTGTTTATTTTACTAAATTTATACATTTTTATTTATTTTTATTTTTATTTATTTTACTAAATTTATACATATTTCTTTTACACATATTGCTCATAAAAATGTTTTCTTTAGATGATGAAAAAATTTGACAATAATCTTACTACTATTGGTAAAAAATGGTATGAAGAATATCAGAAAACTGAGGAACCATGCAAACATTCTTTATCTAAGCTAGATGTACTTCATCTAAAAGAAGAAGGAAAGAAATATTTGGATGCAGAGACTACTGCCTTTCAAGTAAAACAGTCCAAATCGAAAGATTCCAATGTAAGATGGCTAAAGACAGCAGTGAAACAGGGTACTACTTCAGACAAAATAGCAGCCACTATAGTATTGATGCAGGATCATCCAAAGTACAATCTTAGTCGTTTAACAACTTTGGTGTCTCAAGTACGAAGCGCCAAGCACAATCAGTGCAGTATGATTATGGCTTCATTGAAGGAACTGTTTATCACTGATTTATTGCATCCAAAATTCAAATTGTTGAAATTAGAAGAACAAGATCTGGACAAACTCAATCTGGAGAATGAATCAAATGCTATTGTCAAAACGAGCGCTGCAAAAAATAGGTTACTAGCACATTGGTACTACGAAGACCAACTTCGTGATCAGTATGAACATTTCATTTTGAACTTGTCTACGGTTGCTTCTGACACGATAGACACGAATCGAGAAAAGGCCATAGCGACCATGACGGATCTGCTGATAGGTAACTCCGAGCAAGAGCACAAGCTGCTAGAACTAATTGTAAACAAAATCGGTGATCCCACCAGCAAGGTTGCATCTAAAGCTGTGTTCTGTATCAACAAACTGCTGCATGAGCATCCGAACATGAAGCTTGTAGTATTGCGTGAGGTCGAGAAATTATTGTTCAGAAAGAACGTGGCGCAACGAACCCAATATTACGCCATATGCTTATTAGCACAATTTGTCTTGGACTCGAAAAGCGATAAAATTGCTGACACGTTGATAGAAGTATATTTCGCCTTTTTCAAGGCATGTCTGAAAAAGGGAGAACCAGATAGCAGAATGATGGCGGCGATATTAACAGGAGTCAATAGAGCATATCCTTTTGCCAGCATCGATTCAACTGTGATGAACGAGCACATTGATTCCGTCTATAAGGTGGTACACTTTGGTTCATTTAACGTCTCTCTCAGTGCACTCAACTTGCTGCATCAAGTAAATATTATATAATAATATTTATTGTAATAATGTATGATGTACTTTTATAAACATGTTCATTTTGTTAAGGAGAATTGTATTTTCAGATCACAGGCAAGGATGAGACCCAAGCAAGTAGATTTTATTCAGTCTTCTACAAGAAACTCTTAGATCCGCAAATAGGAACGGCGAATAAGCGCACGATGTTTCTCAACTTAATGTACCGAGTTCTACAGCGGGATCAAAGCGAGCTACGTTTATACAGCTTCATGAAGAGAATCCTGCAGGTCTCGGTGTACTTCCCGGCGAACATGGCCTGCGCTACGCTGTATATCGTTTCTAAAATTGTCCAAAGCCGCAAGCATCTAAGGCATATGTTGATCGAACCACACGAAGTTATTAAAATCGAGAAAAAAGAGATATGCGAAGTAAACGACGAACTATCAGATACAGAGAACGTGCAAGTGATAGATGAAATTCAAGTCAAAGACGAAAAGGACGACATTATCATGTTGTCGAATGTTACGATTGGTACAGACACCGCATTAGAAATAAAGCCCGAAGTAAAGCCTGAAGTGGAAGTTACAAAATCATATGATCCTTTCTGCCGGAATCCGCTGTACGCTGGTGCGTCTAAAGGATTCAACATGGAACTCGTAACGTTGTCCAGACATTTTCATCCGAGCGTTGCCTTATTTGCAAACGCGATCATTCAAGGTATGACAAATTCTCCAGCTCTTTTAATTATATATCAATCTATATTTTATTATATTTCTAATTATTTATATATATTTATCACACACACACACACACACACACACACACGCGCGCGCGCGCGCACACACGCGCGCACACACACATATATACAGAATGTCCAAAAAGCTCTGGACCGGTAAAATATCTCGAAACCAAGCATTTTAGAAAAAAATATTTCGGACAAAAGTTGCATGGTTTCAAGGGGGACATTAAACAAAACTATATCATTTTATTTACAGATAGCGACATTTTCGAGATATTCACTGATCATTACTTTTCTTAAATGGAAATTTTTTATTATATCATCTTTTTCTACCAATTAATTTGAACGCATTATTACACACATCGTATCGTTATCGGCAAGTTCAGATGGTTGACTTTTCGGCTGCTTGAGCTAAAACTCTAGTATAGTATAAGGTATAAGTATAGTAAAAGGTGTAGATACTTAACCTATGTGAAGCTGATCCCTCATTATCAAAATTTGAAAAAAATTATTAGAGTTCTAGTTGCCCCCCCCCCCCCCCCCGAAGAGTTCAAGAGTTCTCAATCGGTTTTAGAAATAGTTCTGGCGTTTTAAGCAGTCAAAAAGACAATTGAAAAAAGGGGGGCTAACTTCACAAAACCATCCACTTTAGCGAGCTAGAACTCTTTCATTTCCGCTCAAATCGATTCAAGTCATAAAGAAAATCGATAGAACTCTTCGGGAGGCCACCAGAACTCTAAAGAAATTGATCGATATTCGAAAAAAAATTTTCTCCTAATTGGACTTAGAAAATTCGGCATCGACGATACTCTGATGAACTAGAACTCTTTCATTTCCGCTCGAATCGACTCGAGTCATAAGGAAAATCGACAGAACTCTTCGGGGGGGGGGGGGGCATCAGAACTTTAAAGAAACTGATCGATTTTTGCAAAAAAATTTTCTCCTAATTGGACTTAGAAAATTCGGCATCGACGATACTCTGATGAGCTAGAACTCTTTCATTTCCGCTCGAATCGATTCAAGTCATAAGGAAAATCGATAGAACTCTTCAGGGGGCCATCAAACTCTAAAGAAACTGACCGATTTTTTAAAAAAAATGTTCTCTTAATTGGTCTTAGAAATTTTTTTCGAAAATCTATCTGTTTTTGACTGCCAGAACTATTTCTAAAACCGATTGAGAACTCTAGAACTCTAATCATTTTTTTCAAATTTTGATAATGAGGGGCCAGCTTCACATAGGTAGTGTACTTAACGTAGTAATGCATTAAACAAAAATGTAATAAAAAATAGTGTTATGTAAGTCTTAAAATCTTTCGTGCTACAAGTGTAATTTTCGTGGCCATTTTCATGTATTTATAATACATTACCACGTTAAGTGTTTACTACGTACTAGGGTCTTGGTTCAAGCAGCCGAAAAGTCAACCATCTGAACTTATCGATAATGACACAATGCGTGCAACATCTATACGCGACTCAGTTAACTACAGTGCTGTCGGTGCTAAATCGTGTGGTAAAAGGTTATATCACTTGGGCCCAGTTGCACCAACATTATTTTGGTTCTAAGTGAGACTTAAATATAAGAATCTATCTTTATCTTTCTTACTAAATAAATAAAGACAGAGATATATTTAGGTCTCACTTAAAACCAAAATAATGTTGGTGCAACTGGACCTTACTCGTCTACATCCTGTATATAAAATTTTTTTCATTCTGTATTTTTAATTATTATTTAATAGATTCTCTTTATGATTGTGGAATATTATATGGATTTAACATTCACAGGAAAGCCAATCAATTACACAGGTGATCCGTTGGAGGACCTGACATTGATACGATTCCTGGATCGATACGTCTTTAAAAACCCGAAGAAGCTGGATGACAAGAAAGTGCACAAGAAAAATGATCTCATGGCACAACGTGCTGGATATACACCGAAGGGTCTACGTTCTCTTCGTATCGATAGCGCGGCGTATCTTAACGAGGCCGAAGAACGAATACCGGTGGACGAACTATTTCTCTATCGATTCTTAAAACAGAAGAATGAGAGACGCATTAAGAAAAAAGAAGACAACGACGACGATTTAGAGAGCGTCAACAGTGAAGAATTTAACGATATGTTAGATAATTTAAAGGGCGATCAGGATTTTGATGACTTGGACATTGCAGCAGATATCGTGCCCAAGAAGAAAAAAGGTAATATCGTGTATTTTTATACTAATAATAAAAAAATCACGAGTTTTGACGATTATTCTTTAGACTAGTGCTGGGGGATAAATGCCCAGTTCCGTCAGATTTCGGAGACGACACCAACTTTCTCCCTACTACCGCTCCCAGCTTGACGATCGCGTGCGACAGTTTTGTTTTCAGGAGTGTTCGCATATGAAAAATATGTTGGGATCGTACTTTCCGCCAAACCGTCATTAGAATTTTAACAATAGATTTCCACATTCTTTGTGAGGTACTATTGTTAATGTGTTTCTTTTTTTTAAGTGGTTTCCCTAGTAGGCTTATTCCACTAAAAATTGGTAAAAATGAAACATATGGCTCTACTCTAATGACGATTTGACGGAAAATACGATCCTAGCAGATTTTTCATATGCCAACGCTCCTGAAAACAAAGTTGTCGCACGCGATCGGCAACTCGGCCGCAAAGCCGGGAACATAAGTAGAGGGAAAATAAGCATCGTCTCCGAAATCTGGGCACTTATTTCCCAGCACTGCTTTAGACAAACGAATTGATTCAATTAATGAAAAGTTCAAGCTGACAGATGGAACATTTCTCTACATATAAAAATTTAATGATCAACTATATTTTTTACTGAATTACTATTATTATTACTAATCATTTATGATCTATAATTTTCAGGAAAGGCAAATGAAGAATCCGAGGATGATGTTAGCGATGAAGACGATAATCAATCTAAAGATATCGTCGATAACGACGATAACGTTTCAGAAGATAATCTTAACGAGGATAATATCACGGATGACGAATTACAAGATCTAAGTGATGTTGATTTCCTGGACGTGGATGATGATGATTTCAGCGATATGGAATTCAATGACGACCGTGATATGGAATTCAGTGATGAAGACGGAGACAATGCTGAATTAGTTTCGGATCTAAAGCAAGAGCTACAAAAACAGCAGCAAGATTCGAATAAGAGCAAAGAAAAGAAAAAACAGAGGGGGATTGACAGCGACATATTCATGTCAGCGGAAAAGTTCGCAGAGATGTTAGAGGAACAAAGTAGAATGAAGGGCAAGCATGGTGGTAGCAACACTTTCAGTAACAGAGACGGTGCCAATGCCAAGCAAATTGAATGGGAGATTAAGCGAAATCAGCGGTTGATGGAATCGTTTGGTAAAAACAAGCGGAAGCGCGCCGCCAAACAAACGTCGTCTAATAATAAACAAATGAAGAGATTCAAACGATAGATTATTTAATAAACACATTTTATAAACGCAATCTTACATTTTACAGTATAATCCTCTCTCTCTCTTTCTCTCTCTATACGATATATTTCTTTTTCTGTTTTATATCTTAAGGCGGCAATGTGACCGACACGTAGCGATCCGAGAATGATGAAATACACATTCATAGTCGTGCATGAATAAAAGTACTTGCAGACGCTTTCCTAGCTTTTCAGGCGAAATCAATCGCGTTACATTTTACTGTTATATTGTCAGTACAATGTCAACTTGCGCGTAAATACACACGCATTTCTCTCGTCATCGATGCGAAACTCGTATTTGGTAGAATCAATAGAGGTGTGGATAATCGATTGTGGCTGTATGCGCGTATGTTCAGTCGAAATAACACTTCGGAATAATAGTGATCGGATACTCGTTGCTTCTAAATAAATTCAAATTATAAAGTATTAAATTGAAGATTAAAAAAAATATATAAAATTTCAATTTTCTACATATACGAAAGATTCAATTTTCTAATATACGAAAGATTTTGCTTTATAAGTGTAATTTATATTGAGTATACGTAAACGCGAAATAAATCGAAGAAATCAAGTATTCAAAGCACAATTTCAATATTTCGTTACTTCTCCCATTGAAGTATACATCATATTAAAAAATGTTAAGTCTTTTTCGGATTATTTCAATTAGATGTATCCGCAAATATTTAATAAATTGTACAAATTTCAACAATTATATATAGACACATACTTTGCTAAAATTTCAAATTAAAAATAATTTCCTAAAAGATAGATGTTAATTCATCTTTTTAATGTCTTAATCTTAATCAAAGACATATGTGTCCAAATATATGGTTTAAGAGCATTTGCTGATTTGATAATTGTAACATACAATATCGTCATATCTATGCAAAAAATATTTATTCTATTCTTCACATTTTTGTCTTGATTTCTTCTCATCATAAAGTTTCATTAGAAGCTATTTATAAGTATCAAAAGAACTCAATTGTACATGTGCCACACAATCAACTTAACCACATTGCATATACTCACTTGTAAAAAATTAAGGTCAGAACATACATCAACCATTATGTTTAAGTGCGCTTGATTAGCTTTCATAAATTCGGAGGGTGAGTAGGCACTTTGTATAGATGTGAGCTCAAACATGTTAATATGCAGTAAATACATAAGGGAGAGTGAGATAGGTTTAACGAGCCTCTTCTGCTCGTTTATAAGTATAAGAATATTTTAAATGAACATATACTTCAGAACGATGCCTTTCAAAGAAACATCTTCAAGATGCGCATGTCAACAATATCATAAAATTACTATTTGAAAATTTAACTTTCTACGTCACGAGAGTAGCATTATGTATTATTAATAAATAATGACACTGCATAATGTATTAATACAATTTGCTGATTTCTCTGATGGTATACACACAAAACTCTGCTCTGGTTTACTCGTAATTTTACAAAAAATTTATAATATTAAATTTATATATTCAATTTTCACTGTGCAATGATGGTGGAGAAATCCGCGAATTTATTTGTTCCATTATGTTCTTTCCTTTCTTGTGTTACTGTTTGTTGTATTTATCCTTCTCTCTTTTCTCACGTGCGGTTAGGAGATGCCGCTAAATACGGCAAATCCTAAAGCGTGCCGTATACGCATATCGAAAGGCTGAACGCTACTCTGGGTCAGGCTTTGTAGAGCTGTCTTCATCATGGGCAGGGCTGTGCCATGTGAGTCGTTCCTCATAAAACTTGATTACAATCTGTGGGCACTTCTCATTAGCGATACGTGCTGGTACCAGATCTGCATCATCTGTTCCTTTCCACTTCATTAAGAACATAAGTTCTCCACTGGAATCTGTTGCACCTATGATACGTTCAGGCTCCAGGTTTCTGTCAAATCCTGGAAAAAGTTTCATATTTTTGTAATGTAGTATATATCTAAATCTTCCTAAATTTTTCTATTACCCATCAAAATATCATCAAAAATCATAATGCAGTGATGTATCGCAAATATCTGGATGAAAAATGCATATCTTATAAAATTTAACATATTTCTATATTACCTTCCAATTTCTTCTCTTCAGCCCCAGCCTTTTTCTTAGCTTGAGAAGGTGTTGGTGTGCTGGTATTCTTTCGTTTCTTCAACTCCTTGTCATCGTGACCTCGTTTGCCAGATGCTGCTGCTTCCTTCTTCTTGCGTTGTTCTTCAAATTGAGCAATCAAGTCAGGACAATCCAAATTCTCTTCAGGCTCCCATGTATTTTCATCGTTAGAATATCCTTTCCATTTTAAAAAGTATTCTACCTATAATTCAAAAGTATGCCTTAAAATAAATTCTTCATAAATTTAGAATAATTTCTTCATGAATAATAACCATCTCACATGTTATACAAATATAATTGTCTATACCTTGCCCTTTACGACTCTTCTGTCTAAAACTTTTTCCACACTAAATTCCTCCTCACCTTCAGCGTCGGTTGGCGGAGAATCCTTCACTTTGCTCATTATAACCTGTTAACTATGAACACATGAACATCTGGTTTAATTTTATCATGTAATTTTCGTGTCTTAGAGAATGCAAATATATCAACAAGAAAGCAGATTTATATGAAAAATACAACTGAACAGATATAAAAGATCGGAGTAAATCGTACAATTACTATATCATAAATGAAAAAAGCTAAATAACAAGAGACAGTCGTTATCATGTATCCAACTAATTTGCTTATACAGAGATGCTTATCAGAGATAAACAAATATGATAAAAAAACTCTTAGTGAATGATCGAAAACTACGTTTGCACGATTCACTCGCAGGCTCGCGAACAAAACCTAAAAAATTTTCAACAACAATAAAATAGAAGCTCTGAGATGTCCCACCGGCAATGGCGGGAACGCACGCAAATTCGCACAAGAGAGTCAACAAACGAACGTGTTTTTTGTTTGCAAATGTCTTAACGCCAGACGAGAGAAGTCGCAGATGTGATTTTCAGGTGGCGAGAGAGATTTCGTACGATCACGAAACCGACGCGCTTGATTCTTTTGTGTATCATTAACAGTGCAAAATGGCGGCGTTATAGCGACGCGTCGCCGGCATTTTTCCAGTCGCGACGTTCACTTACTCATCAACGTGTCCACGTCACAATAGGTTGTCCCTTGTCGGATCACGGATCGCAATTACTTTATCGGGAATTTATGTAGAACAAAAGAACAAAAATCTTGACACTTACAAGTTCTATTCCTCGCAACAAGAGTGGATGAGAAGCGTGCACGAATTTCGGAAAATCACCGCGTCGTGATCCCGCGCGTTGCACAGCGTTGCCGCGAAAAATGCAGAGCCTGCCAATGCAGTAGAGTGAAAATCCCGCGCTGGATCCTATCTAGAAACCAGAGAGAAGCCTGAGAGCGGCCGTTGGACCGGACTCCAAGGGGCTTAGAGACCTGGACATTAGAGCTTCGGCGTAATTGGTTCACGGACCGGTGGCCTGAAAATGGCGGTACCAATAAAAAACCTTGCTTACTTAGCGCGAACGGGTAGATAATTTGGATGTCAAGTAATATGTCTTCTAAATAGCGTCATATATTATTTTATTTAGCATCAACACATGAAAAGTAAAGAATTTCATAAACGAATATTTCGAAATTCAATATTTATAAAAAAAATGTAATATATTTCATGAATTTATGCAGAGAAACATATATGGGTCCATATCCTAAACTTAATTTTATTGATAAAAGTACCTGTAAAAATGGCTTATAAAGCTTCTAATTGGTTATAACTAATTTTTAGAGACACTTTGATAAAAGGAAGGTTAAAGTATGGACCTTAAAATCAATATTTCTATTAATAGAATATAAGTGAAATGCATTGTAAATGGGAATAAGAGAAATAATAACATAACGAAATATAAAATATATAATATATTTAATGCAGAATATTTATAACAATAATATATACAATGTAATATATGGTATATTTATATATAGGGTGTCCCATTTTAACTTTTGCATTAAAAAATTTCGGAAACTACGAAAGATATTAAAAAAAGCTAAAACACGTTTTCCATTATTTCGAAGGAAAAAAGAATGGCATTATCAGTTTTTTCTTTGGAGAGCATTTTCAAGGTCAGTTGAAGGTCAACTTAATTTTTTTAAACATTTTCTATTTTTTTAAATAGAAGAATTTTTTTAAATAGAAAATTTAATTTTTTTTATTATATCTTCTTTTTCTACCAATCAATTTTAACAACTTTTGTCTGAAATATTTTTTACTTGCCTAATATTTTTTGAAATATTTAAAGAAAACTTGATAACTTTTTCAATATTTAACTTACAATATTTCGTTAACTATTTGTCGGAAGTAAAAGTGGTACTAGACTTTCTTGCTTTATTTAGTCTCGAGAATATATTGTTACAATAGTGCCCTGATTTTTGTTACTTTGATAATTTTAAAATTTCCAAAGTCGATAAGTTAACAAAAGTTAGGGCACTATTATAGTAATATATTCTTGATAGTAAATAAAATAAAAAAGTCTAATACTATTTTTTCTTTCTACGAATAGTTAACGAGATATAGTAAGTTAAATATTGAAAAAGTTACCAAGTTCTCCTTAAATATTTAAAAAAATATTAGGCAAATAAAAATATGTTTCAGACAAAAGTTGTTAAAATTAATTGGTAGAAAAAGAAGATATAATAAAAAATTGGGCTTTCTATTTTAAAAAATTAAGTTGACCTTCAACTGACCTTGAAAATGCTCAAATAAAAAACTGATAATGCCATTCTCTTTCCCCTTCGAAATCATGGAACACGTGTTTTAGCTGTTTTTAATATATTTCATAGTTTTCGAGATTTTTTAATGCGAAAGTTAAAGTGAGACACTCTATATATGGAAAACTATCGTATATCCGCATGCATTGCCATAGTCTTACTATTATAAATTTTAGTAGGTAAATCATGTTTACGATTTATAATTCGCAGTCGAAATCGAATAAATCGAATCATTATATTATTTTTTATGTTATGACAGTTTTTCAATATATTACATGGAATAAACTGCATTTTTTCAGAAAAAAAATGAACTAAATTATATTTATTTACATCGTAATTAGTTTTTATATATGGGAGATATTGTCTAATAATAATTTCCATTTACTGAAAAAATTCAAATGTCATCTCATTAACAAAAAATGCGTATTATTTCGAAAAGATCGCAATTGAACAAATTTTATAAATTTCGAAGTCGATATATATGTGAAAGACCCAGCAGAATTCAAACAAGATTCGCATAAAATGTTATTTTTTGAAACACGGGAAAGAATGTATCCAGCGATGTTATATAATACATTATTTTCAATGTTTCCTAATTTTACTTCTTTATTTGAAAAATCAGGGACAGTTGGCAATTTCTCCTTATTATTCCGTACTTTTGGTTTACTCAAAAAATCGCCAACAATAACTCTATCATCTTTTTCGTAACTAGAGTTACCTACCCAGACAGCACCGGACATCCAATGGATGTACGTTTCACGTCCAATTTATGTCCGTATGTCCGATTTACGTCCGTGGACATAAGTTGGACGTAACAAGGATGTCCTTATTGGATATCGGACCTGTAGGACGTCCGAAGTACATCCATCAGACGTCCGAAGTTGTGACAAACGTACGTCCTATGAACGTCTTTTGTAAAAAAAATGGACATATAATGGACGTCCAATGGACATCCGTGTGCTGTCTGGGTATTGGTTTTAAATATTTTTATATGGCAACAATTTTTAAATTGTTTATAAATTGTAACACGTTCGGAGTAGGTTGTCTACCTCTAATACAAAAAAATATATTTTCTACACAGTCTGAAGTTAATCGCCCTGCTAGAACATACTGATAGCCTTTTTCATTGATTAAATACGTAGATAATTCAATTATAGATTTGGTACTGATGCTTCTCCATGTTGTACAGGTTTGAATTGCGTATCATTTCCAACTATCATTTCTTGAAACAGTTTAATAACAGATTCTAGAAATGTTATCGCTTTTTCAAATTTTTCTTTAGAAAATGTATTACCTGAAGTTTTCCCTAATGTGACTTTAGGAGTATGTGAAGGCACCAAAGTATACCATTTTGAAACGGCTTCAATAAAAAAAGGCTGTTGTCCAGTAAGCTGTTTAGAATTTTCATTTGCCAGAAATTTTAGGCTAGCACTAACATCCCGAGACAAAATTTTTTACTTTATTCACTTTCATTTTATTAAAAGTACCACTCAAAAAATCATCTGAGTTAATATTCGGCCTTAATCTTAGCTCCAAGTTTTCTTGAAATTTCGCTAGTTCTTTAACATGCAGACACTCAACTACAGAAGACGATAGATCATTATCACTAATAACTTTTGCAGGCAAGGTAATAGTTTTGTTATTAAGTAAACAGAATTTTAGGTTTTTTAAAAGATGGCCAGAATCAGCGATAAATCAAAGCTTGCAATTATTATGAACAGGATAAATAATTGAGTTTACTATTGTAGAATAACGTCCAGCAAAACCAACAGTAAAGCTACGCCACATGGCTAAATTGTTCGGTCCCATGTCATTAATAATGTTATGGACATAAAGTCCAATGGATTCAGCTTTTTTTATAATTTCGAAGATGATTGGATTTAGTATTACTCCGTTATAACTATCAGATGTTAAATAAAACGCGACTATTTATTTCCAACGAGAAAATATGCCAGCAAGCACAAAAATCAAACCATGCATAGCTTGAACTCTTTCTCCTATATGCATAACAAAATATAAGAGAAAAATATAAAAGTTACATACAAAAGTTGCGTTCTGATATTCATTACTAGTATTGAAAATCTATGGTATACGTGACATGAACTATAGATTTTCAAAATTGGCAGTGAATATCGGAATGCAGCCAAGATAAAATGAATGTGAACAGTGAGTTTTTGGATCTGAAGATCGATTGTCTATCACGAAACTATAGTGAAAACGACAAAAGTGAGCATTCATTTGATTGTATAAATTTCACTATAGACTGAATGTGAAATATTTCACGTGAGATTATTCGACAAAAAATTCCTTGTCGAATGATGTTTACGATGAAGATATACAATCGACTCCCTAATTAGTATATAGTTTAAGAAAGCAAGCGAGAGAGAGCGAGAGAGAGAGAGAGAGAGAGAGAAGAGAGAGAGAGAGGAGAGAGGAGAGAGAGAAGAGAGAGAGAGAGAGAGAGAGAGAGAGAGAGAGAGAGAGAGAGAGAGAGAGAGAGAGAGAGAGAGAGAGAGAGAGAGAGAGAGAGAGAGAGAGAGAAATGTTGAAACAAGTGCAAATATTAGCAGAAGTACCCAGTAAACAGTGATTAGAGTTAGTTAGGATAATCGTACGCACTTTTGACTTTTATATTTTATTCTTGACAATAATAAAAAATAACATTATAACATTAGTTATGTGAATGTTATAACAATGTGACATATCATATAATATTTAATGCATAATATTACGTCAATATCTGTAGAAACATCATTACAAGTGTTATTTAGAAGCAAAAATGTAATAAAAATTTTGTGAAAACACATAACCAGAGGATCACATTGTTATATTACGTGTTATATTGATGAGTGGAAAATTATAACTAATCAGTTACTTACCAGAAACATTTATATAATATTACCTATAACATCCAATATATTATGTGTATAATATGATTATTACTGTGTTTACTGGGTAGTAATTTCCTGTAACAGTTCATGCAAGAAGGAAAACCATAATACCAATAAAATATTAATACCAATAAAATGCAAACACAAATGCCTAGCAAACACTATGTAACTTTTAACATACATGTTAATTCCTAGTTAACACGAAGTAAAAGTTACGTTACATTAATATTATTATTTCTCACTCAACAATGTAACTGTTACATAATAAATGTGTTATGTAAGAGTTATGTAACTTTTACTTCGTGTTTGTAACTTTTACTGGATTGTAATTTCTTACTCAATAATATATAATGATTACATAATACGTATGTTATGTAACAATAATTTTATTGAGTAGAAAATTAAAACTAAAATATATATCGCATATTACACTGTTTGCTATATGCTGACAGACATACTATTATGTGCACAGAAAGATGCAAATCCACAATATGACTGTGTAGATAAATTCAATTGTTAACCTGGTGCAATTGACATTTCGTCTAATACAAGCGAACAATCTCTATCTCTAACATCTTGGAATAGAACTGTTTTGTCTTCTAATAATTTAAAAATATCGTCGGAAATTCCTTCTTTAAGTTGGATATTTTCCAATTTCCTGCGAAGGGTACGTTCCGATGGTAGAGGCATGTTTCCCTTCAATAACTCTTGATACCCACTAGAACCACAGGAAAACTTCAATCGGAGGGCTTTTTTTATGGTATCGTTTGACCATATATGGTTGCGCAAGGATAGTTGCACGAGAGCTGTTATTTGATTCTCATTGAATACTTTTTTCATTGCAGCTTCCAATACGTGACAATATTGTGTTTTTGACTTTTTTGTAATTCCTTTCAACCTCTTTATCTGTTTCTTTAACATGGTTTTACTTCGGTCACTTTTCAATAAAAACTGATTCGCTAAATCAAGTTTTTTATTGGCTTCTGCTAATTGTTTCTTTAATTCTTTAACTTCATTCAATGAATCTGCAAAAGAATATAAGTCATATAATGAATTATAAGTAACATGATGATGTATCATAATAAGTCAGTTTCAATACTTTCAAAATAATTAACCCATTAACGCCTAAAAACTCGAAAATTTCTGTTCATTTTTGAGCCTCATTCTCATTCATAGAAAGGAGAAGAATTTATGGAAAAACAGTATTTTCTACTAAAATCGGGTCTGCTCTTTCCGATTCCGCTATTAAAAATCGATTTATCCCAACCAGAAAAAAAATATGGTCGGTTTTTATCCAAAAAGCAGATGAAAAAATAGATGAACGATTTTTTTCAAATAATTTTTTCGAATTAAAGCAGCATGCAAATTTAAATCTCCAGTCAACCAAAAGTGCATAAAATAACTATACTTTCAAAACATATATTTTTTGTTTTCATCTGACACGGCGATTCCAAAATGGTGATTAGAAAGAGAAAAAAATTGAAATACCAAGATTTCTTACATATTTCGATTTAATTCGCATAATTATTCCCTTTCAAATCACTTGCAAAGATATATTTGTCATCGATGATAAACCTTTATGTTAATTAATAATTATGACATGGCAGATTCAAGATAACAGTCATAAAAGAGATAAATTGTTGATTTTCAGATGTTTTTTCCAGATTTTTTTTAAATCATCTATTTTTTCATGTTTTTTGGATAAAATCGGCCATATTTTTTTTCTGGTTGAGATAAATCGATTTTTAATAGCGGAATCGGAAAGAGCAGATCCAATTTTAGTAGAAAACACTGTTTTGCCATAAATTCTTCTCCTTTCTATGAATGAGAATGAGGCTCAAAAATGATCAGAAATTTTTGAGCTTTCAGGCGTTAATGGGTTAAATATGATTGTACCTGCAAAATTACTCAATGTTGATGAAGTAACATCAGGAATATCTAAGGTATTTGACATTACATTATCTTGCCTTCCTGCACAATCGTTCGTTTCATGCTAAACAAATTTATTATTTTAATGACAAGTTTGATAAGTTTTAAGCTTGTTAATTTGTTCTTATAAAAATATGCAAGCAAAGAGAACTAACATTTATACTTATACATGTACTACTTCTTACCAATCGAGCAGGAAAAATTGTAGGCACAGCATTATTTTTCAATTTGCGCTTTCCATCTATGCGTATCTTCTCCCACATATTACTCTCAAAATGTGTCTATATAAAACAGTGTTTTATTATCGATATTTTTATTGATATAACAAAATAACAATATAGGTATAACAATTTATAACTTACCTCACATATAACTAAATACTTAGATTTTATATTTCCCATGCCTATATTATTCATCCATTGGTTTTTCCTTCTTGGATTAGTTGGGAAAGATGCCATATAAATTGAATTTCTTTTATCTTTGCGAACCTTACATCCTGGCACACAACAACTTGGCATTTTCTATAAACATAATATTTCATTATTCTAGTTTTTAAATTTATACACATATTACAATTTTTCACAATAAGTATTACTTATTAATTTTCATTCGTCTAATATATAAAGTTAGAAAGGAAATATTCACAACGTTGTAATTCTATTAATAAGCACAAACAAATATTTTCCTCATTTTTAATATTACATACAGTTATTTATCATTGATTAATATATAAATGACATAAATAAAACTTCTTTCTCATAGCAGATAAATTGAAATGACGTTTTCTCTCACCTTTGGCCTAAGGCTGTTCTTTTCAACTGCTGAATTGATACTTTTTGCACCATTGTGCAGCTAAAAAGAACACACTGAATCGGCCATTTTCAGGTCGTGTCCAGACTCTCAATTATAGGGTCTCTACAAGGGGCTTTTTCTGATGCGGCCCCTAAGAAAGTACACGCAAATTACGTCCGTCCCGATGGTAACGGCAAAGCCTGCACGGTTCTTGTTCATTCTACTTCCTTAAGAAAGATTGTAAATTAGAAAAGCACAGACGATCAATCGCTCGCCGTTTCTGTCTCATCACCGATGAGCGGAACGTATGATAGGAATAGGCACGAGGCGAGACAGCGGCGATCTTATCACTATCAGAATGCCCTCCTCTTGTCTTTTCGCCAACTCATCTTTCACATAACGCGTTACCCACAGTCAAGTGGTTTGTTCTTTTTAGCTGCACTACTGGTGCAATAAGTTAAAGTGAGAAAAAATATAGTTGTCTTATTCTAACTTATTGCACTGGTTCTGCAGTGCAGCTAAAAAGAATAGACCAATAGTCCGTAAATAGAGACAGAACGAAGTCAGGGTACCTATCATGGAACTCGTCGGAATCGATTCCGATCGGAATAATTCCTAGAAAGAAACAATAGGAATCTAGGAAATAACAGAATAAATCCGATCGGAATCGATTCCGACGAGTTCCATAATAGGTACTACGTGTATTATAGCAGAACTCGGCAAAGTTTACAACTTTCGGCCGATTCTCGGGACCTACGCCTCCCTTTATCGCGCCGCGGATCCAGCAAAAAAAATCAACTGTGGTTGGTCAATTTGGTTACAACTTATGGCTAATAGCTTAAGCCAGCGGCACACGGTGCTTGTTTTCGTGCTGGATTGCTTGCTGGATGAAAATACTGCGTTCTGATTGGTGCATTACCATCCATCTTCGGAAATGTACTAATCACAATGCAATATTTTCATCCAGCAAGCAATCCAGCACGAAAATAAGCACCGTGTGCCGCTGGCTTTATTGTAGAAGGCCCATCATGGAACTCGTCGGAATCGATTCCGATAGGAATAATTCCATTTCCCCTAGAAAAGACAATAGAAATCTGGGAAATAACAGAATAAATTCAATCGGAATCGATTCCGACGAGTTCTATAATAGGTACTCCTGAGGTCGTGAGCCGCGACCGTCAGTTGCTGGATCCGCCGCGCGATAAAGGGAGATAGGAGGCGTAGTTCCTGAAAATCGGCCGAAAGTTGTAAACTTTGCTGAGCTCTGTATAAAGCCAACGGCACACGGTGCTTGTTTTCGTGTTGGATTGCATGCTGCAAGAAAATACTGCCTTCTGATTGGTACATTTCTGAAGATGGATGGAAATGCACCAATCAGAACGTAGTATTTTCATCCAGCAAGCAATCCAACACGAAAACAAGCACCGTGTGCCGCTGGCTTTATACAATGACCACCAACTGAAACTTTTTGCATATTATTCAAGGAAATGTCCCTGACAACATATATAACGTTCACATTCTTGAAACGATGACTGGCGTAGGAGCGGAATTGTCTCGTTTGGAGCCATCTATTGAACCATGAACCATACAGGGTGAGTCAATTAAAGTGTTACAGACTTATATCTTGGAAATGAATAATTTTAGAGAAAAATGTTTCAGACAAAAGTTGTATGGTGTCAAATGGGACATAAGAAGGTATCATTGATTAGACCTTGATTAGCCATTTGAAGGTTACGTGAAGGTCGCCAACAATTTTTCAAATAGAACGCCCTACTTTCTTTGGCATATTCTTATAACGTATTTCAAGAGCTTTCCAAAACACTACAACAAAGTATTTTTTTGTTAAATACATCCCGAGTTATGAAGCTTCAAAGTTGCAGTACCGCCGGCGTTTGCATTACCCAAGGTGTACCGCGTGGAGGTTGCACGGTCGGATTTATACCTCTTTGTATGTGTGTGTGTGCGCGTGTATGTGCGTGCGAACGCACACACACACACACACGCACGCACACAAGAGGTGTAAATCCGATCATGCTACCTCCATGCGGTACACCTTGGGTAATGCTAATGCCGTCGATACTGCAACTTTGAAGCTTCATAACTGGAGATGTACTTAACAAAAAAATACTTTGTTGTAGTGTTTTGGAAAGCTCTTGAAATACGTTATAAGAATATGCCAAAGAAAGTAGGGCGTTCTATTTGAAAAATTGTTGGCGACCTTCACGTAACCTTCAAATGGCTAATCAAGGTCTAATCAATGATACCTTCTTATGTCCCATTTGACACCATACAACTTTTGTCTGAAACATTTTTCTCTAAAATTATTCATTTCCAAGATATAAGTCTGTAACACTTTAATTGACTCACCCTGTGTATACACTGAGAGAAAGGTATAAGATATTTGGAACTATAATGATATAGTAACTGAATTATAGTCCGAAATATTTATAGTAGGTATTACCATAATATCGGTAATAATTGCGATATAGGCTTAGTATAACCAACCATGTAATATTTTTACTAAGAATTATAGTAAGTTAAACTAAAATTACTGTATGGATACAGATATAAAATGGTAGGTAAAGTAACTCTTTTATATAGTCAATATTACCCGAATATTTGCTAAATGATGACAGATGTTACTATATGAATATTAACTCTCACTGTATTTGTGAATGAGAAATTACCATATATGTGGTAAAAGTAACTAAACAATTGTTTCAGACAATCATTGACTATATATTTGTGTTTATTCTACTATATTTTGCAGGTTCTGCTATAGTTCTACTATAGTTTGCACGAACTATAAAAATATGGTTGACGCCAAAATGAACTATAAAATATAGTGAGATTATAGTTAATTCAATTATATTTTTCTATCAGTGTACATATTATGGATACATGACTTAACGAATTATAATAATGTTAAGTAATAAGTTTGAAAAATTAAAGTTTAAAATACCCTCACTTTTGAGAAATATATTTAATTAGCCGTCTTCATTAGATTTTAAAAATAAAACTTAACGGAACGATCACGAATCACCAAATAATATTTAATGTTAATATAGATATAATAACGATAAAAGTTATTTTTTATGAAATAAAACATATTGGAAACGCTATTTGTTACAGTATAAAACAAGTTACGTTTAATATTATTCATATTTTTAGTGCGCTTAAAATGCTTTTATGAATTAATTTCGTTATTGCGCATGATGACTCAATCACAAATCAGATTGTATATCGCTTCTACGTTGGACACTCAACCAGAATCCATTTTCTGGCATCAGATCTGTACCTATTTTACTGAATTTCATAGACAACATGGTTTTTGCGCAAGGTTCCAGCTCGCATCGCGCTAACAGGTGAAACATCAAGATTTTCAGTTCCAGTAGCGCAAACTTGTTGGCAATGCACATCCGCGGCCCTATTCCAAATGGCATGTAATACGAGTTGTAGTGAGAGCTCATGGTTGAGAATCTCTCAGGACGGAATTTTTCCGGTTCATCATAATACTTTCCATCACGATGAATCGAGTAGATTGGGATCCAAATTAACTGACCTTTCTTTATGATGACGGGTTTCTCATTCGGCAATGCAGGTGGCAATTCATAAGCCTTATCGCATTTTCGCTCAACAAAAACTACCGGTGTATACAATCGGAGACTTTCACTTATCACCATGTCCAAATATTTTAGCTGATTAATAGCGTCGTACGTCACATTTCCGTTTGATTCCTTGAGAATTTGGTCAAACTCTTGCCGTAACTTCGTCTGGATGTCCGAATTAGCGGCAATCGCATGAGCTATGAAACACATTGCGTTCGAGCTGGTGTCGAAACCGGCGAAGAAGAAAGTGAATGCCTGCGCGGACATGTCGTCGGTGTCTAATTGTCTCTTGTTCTCATTCCTGATGTTCATCATCTGTTGTAGCATATCTGGACGTGTGATGTTTTTGGCATCGCGCATGTCGATGGTGGTCTTTATGATGTCCTTAAAAAACCTATTGGCTCTGTCGCTTAGTAATCTTATGCCGAGGAATTGTGCGAGCTTCGGCAAGAGGAAGAACTTGAGAATGTTCCTTTTAAATAAACTAATCATTTCTGTACCATAGAAGTAGAACCCATTGGTAGGATTTTTCATGGAATCGACTTTAATTCCAAAGGCACACGAGGCAATCACATCAGTCGTATACTTGGTGAACAACTCTTTCATATCCATGTCGCTCTTATCTTTTACTTTTTCTGATAGAGATTTGGTGAAGTCCACAGCACACTCCGACATTAATGTGAACATGGTTTTCATCTTACTAGATGTAAATGATGGACTCAATAAGGTTCTTACATTTCGCCATCTTTGCCCGCGGATGGAGAATATACTTTTTGAAAATAATACACCATTGGTTTCGGCAAAACTACGCCGATTAGGAAACGCATCGAAGCTCTTGACGCAGACCTTTTTGATGATCTCGGGATCTCGCAACAAAATCATAGGTTGCATCATAGTATAAAATCCGTAATACTTGGCATCCGGATTGAAGTAATATAGCTTTTCAAGAAAATCCACGAATGATATACGGCGCAGTATAAGCAACATACTACTGTTAAATATCGGCACGGATGGAACGTAGAGAACACCGTGTCTCTTGAAGTAATTGAACTTTTTGTAAAGGTAATGCAAACTGAGAATACCTATGGATAGTACCACAATGGATAATAGTATTGTCCAATATTCCATGGCGAATGTTGTTTGAGAACTTTGGCAGAGCCGATTCGAGAGTGAACGAAGGATCTTGCTTCGCGTATTTGCGATTCAGCGAATCTGGAAGTTTATACGCAACTGCTAATGCCTACCGCTACAAACGTTTATATATCCATAGATCTTTCATAAGTAAGTTGCAGGATGACGTTGTAAAAGATAAGAAATACAGTATATATATTTAACACTCCACGGTTGTTTGCGGTTGTAGGAACGCATAATGATAAAAGAGAAAGATAAAATTACTTGTAACAAAATTACTGAAAATTTTATAATTAAAAAAAATATCGACATTCTATCTTAATTTATTATTCTTTCGTTTTATATGTACCATATTTATGCTCAAAATATCATCAAATTTACTACTAAAAATGTACTATTATTATACTATCTATTCCCACACACGACCGCAATATTGCAGGAATATTACAGAAATGTTGCAGGAATATTGCATAAATATGACAACAATATTGCAGAAATATTTAATGTCCTAGGCATAAGTCTCGCAGAAATATTGCGGGAATATTGTTATGATGTTGTAGGAATATTGTCACAATATCACAGGACTATTGCCACAATGTTGTTGAAATATCGCCACAATCTTGCAGGAATACATATGAAATATAGCCACAATACTGCAGAAAAATTGCAAAATATTGCCGAAATATTACCGCAATCGTGCAGGAATGTTGCTACGATATTTCTTAAATGTTGCTGCAATATTGCAGGAATATTACTGAAATATTGCATAAATATCACAGCAATATTGCAAAAATACTTAATGTCCTAGGCATAAATCTCGCAAAAATATTTCAAGCGTGGTCTACAATGGCAGTAAGCAGTAAGAAGTAAGCGTAAGCGGTAAGAAATAAACCAATCACAGTCGATTATGACAAAAATAATCAACTGTGGTTGGTCCATTTCTTACTGTTCACGCTTTCCTCTAATTGCTTACGGCCATTGTAGACCACGCTTTAGAAACACTGCGTTAAATAAAAAAATGTTTCAGACAAAAGTTGTTTGGCTTGAAGGAGGACAAGAAAGCGATAGCATTTTGTTTATAAATGGCGCCACTTTTGAGATATTCACTGACAATCAATTTTTATAAATGAAAATCCGAATTTTTTGTTATGTTTTCTTTTTCTATCAATTAATTTGAACAATTTTTGTCTGAAACATTTTTTTATTTGGTTAATATTTTTTGAGATATTTAAGGAAAACTTGGTAACTTTTTCAACATTTAACTTACGATATCTCGCTAACTATTCGTCGAAAGAAAAAATAGTAATAAAATATTAGACTTTTTTACTTTATTTAATATCAAGAATATATTAATAGTGCCCTAACTTTTGTTAATTTAATAATTTTGAAATCTCCAAAGGTCGATAAGTTAACAAAAGTTAGGGCACTATTATAATAATATATTCTTGATAGTAAGTAAAGTAAAAAAGTCTAATACTATTTTTTCTTTCGACGAATAGTTAGCGAGATATCGTAAGTTAAATGTTGAAAAAGTTACCAAGTTTTCCTTAAATATCTCAAAAAATATTAACCAAATAAAAAAATATTTCAGACAAAAATTGTTCAAATTAATTGATAGAAAAAGAGAACAAAACAAAAAATTCGGATTTCCATTTATGAAAATTGATTGTCAGTGAATATCTCAAAAGTGGCGCCATTTATAAACAAAATGCTATCGCTTTCTTGTCCTCCTTCAAGCCAAACAACTTTTGTCTGAAACATTTTTTTTTTAACGCAGTGTTTCTGAGATATTTGTGATGTGACATTAAAATGGGACACCCTGTATATAAATTGTTTCACACTGCAGTATTGCGACGATAATCAGAAATATTACATGGCGGTCTGTCATGCTGGAATATAGCGGCAATATTCGTGTGATATTGCAATGAGATTTATCATCGCGCAATAATGTTGTAATATTGCCACTATGTTGCCATACGATAGTCACATTGTAACATTGCAGTAATATTCCAGTGATATTGTAATATTCCAGTGATATTGTCTGATATATCGCTCATCTATTAAGTCAAAACGCAAATATTTTCAGTAATCATAGCTTCAGAATCATAAATTTTATAAGATTTGTAAGGTGCTATAAACCATAATTGCTAAAAAGTTTTTATTAAAATCAGTATCTTATCATTATCATTTTTATAATAAAAATACAGATGTAATATTAACGTATATATATATATATAAGACAATTTTCAATAATAGAAATATAAATATAATGATAGCATAAAGAATAATGTTTATAGAAGTTCTCAATAAGAACTTTTCGCAAATCGAAAAAATTTTATGTTTTATTCAATAAAGGATTCTGAAACTGAGTATAGCAACCGTCAATAGCGTGACTATAAACTTTGAGCTAACAGATGTTAAAGAAATCGCTAATAATTCTTTTCGGGAATAATTTTTTTAAGAGTTTTCGGGTAAGTTTTTTACAATTTGAGCATTTAGATCTAAACAAAATGGCGTATATTCTTCAGTCTGTCTTTTATGAAAATCATTGATTTCTTAAAAAAAATTGTTATTTTATACCGGAAACTACAAATATCGCGTTATTAACATTTGTACCTTAAAAATATGTGGGTAGTTTTTTTTCTAAATTTTTTTTCAATATGGCGGACTCAACATTGCAGCCGAAATCACGAATTTCATCTTATATCGATTTTTCTAACGTTTTTTCACTTTATAATGCTGATTTATTCAATCTGTCTGATATATCACTCCGCAACATTGTTATAATATTCCTGCGATATTGTAGATTCATATATCATATTGAAGTATTACTGCGATACTCAGAAATATTACGTAGTGGTCTACCATGCTGGAATATAGCGGCAATATTCCTATGATATTGCAATGAGATTTATCATCGCGCAATATTGTTGTAATATTGTCACTATGTTGCCATACGATAGTCACATTGTAACATTGCAATAATATTCCAGTGATATTGTAATCTGATATATCACTCTGTAATATTGTGATAATATTGTTGGAATATTATATAATAATCTTGTGATTTTGTAATATTGCTACGATATTATAATATTGCTTCAATATTGCTGCAATATTGCAGTGCTGTGTGGGTTATTATATATCTACTATTATACTATTATTATATTATTATACTATTATATTATTATTGAAACTTCTGTACTACTAGACAATATAAACAGAATTTAAAAGTATTTATGTGAAAAAAGCTATAATGTTCTCTTCGACTTTTTTTGTCTAGATTTTTATTTTAAACTTGAACCAGAGAGGAACGTAAGAGCCTCCAACACAGCGTTTTCCACGACACCGATTTTCCGCACTGGGAAAGGGCGCCATTTGTATCCATTTTGAGAGAGGAACTACGATGCTACATTCACTTTCAGGTTCCGGCGGTAAAACCTGCATGTGATGGCAGTCAGGGGATGGACACTTAAGCCCCTCGCACAATGCCAGGCAACAGGCACATTGCATGGGTACATAGGGGTACATCGCATGTAAAAAATGGAGATACATTCTTAAAGTAGAGACTTCAAGCTTCATTTTGAAAAAAAAAATCATTAGTCTACAATATTAAATACAATTAGTCTACAATAATTTTTCGCAAAGTAATCGTCAGTCAAATTTGGCCAATTTTCGACAATAAATTATCTATGCCATAATTCTTTTGAGCAGTGTATATCATATCTTCTATTTCGTTTTCTCGGTGCGCGTACCGCTTATTGGAAAAATCCGTAGCTAGCAATATAATAATATTACAGTTAGTATGATTTGAATATAGCGCGTATTCTCATTCTACGTTATTCTATTTTAGTTCGAATACATCCGGGTACAAGCGCTGGTGGCGCTGAAAAACTCATTATTCATTTTCCAAGAGGGGAGTCTATATCCTCTATGTGATACGATATAAACTTGGCCGCTGATAATCTCTTACCGGGTGTTATCAACGACATTTGTAACGAATGTTCGTTCCTTATTCGAGCAATGTCATCAGATTTAGATTTTTCCTGGGATTAATTTCTTTTTTTTCTTTTGTGCGTGAGTGTTTTATATGAAAATATGGGTCAGCGAGTTTCGAGAATAGATTTCGAGTGGGTTTATACGGAGGAACCGCATGCCACGCGGCGGAAAATAATTCTTGGTACAAAGGAAGAACTTCGAATATATGCGCAAATTATCATTCATTTACATCAACATTTACATTGAACATTCTTATTTTGCGACCGCTATTAGAAAAGATAAATATCTTTTGGGACATGTATAGTCTGAGACAACAGTCTCGGTACAGAAAAAGGAATTCGAATATATGCACAAATTATCATGCATTCACATTTACATTGAACACTGATTCTTATCTCGTGACCGCTACTAGAAAAGATAAACATCTTTTAGGGCATATATAGTCTGAGTCACTAAAATAAAGTCAGAAGGATGGATGTTACATCAAGTTGCAATTATTCATGTAGAAATCATTTCATTCTAATTAAACATAATAATAATTTTCTGTGTACTGATTCTTATTGCATTATTATAATAAGATTTATAACAAGGTTTTTGAATATGAAGTTAAAAGTGATGATGCTTCAAATTTTATGTACAATTTAAAAAAATATTTATATACTTTATTGACATATACTTTATGTATTTTAAAAATATATATTTATATATAACATTTATATTAATACATTATAACAGATTATTTAGGATAATTGTTAAAAATATTCTCTGTTTCAGAAAAATATCCACAAATTAAGAAATTATTTGGATATGATCCAAATTTCAAATGGATAGTCACTTGTATGGTATTAATACAATTTCTATCTTTCTTTATAGTCAAGGATTTGAGTTATCCAAAACTTTTGATATTAGCATATTGTTTTGGTGGTGTGATAAATCATTCCCTTATGCTTGGTATATATATATTTTTTTATCATTAATATGACAGATATATCATAATTTGTGAAATATTGAATATGTGTTAATATATAATACATTAATATTTCTGATATGTAATAGTAATTTAATTTATATTGTTTTATAGCCGTACATGAGATAGCTCATAATCTTGCCTTTGGACATGCCAGACCTATGGCTAATCGACTGTTTGGTCTTTTTGCAAATTTGCCAATAGGAGTACCAATGTCTATTAGTTTTAAGAAATATCACCTTGAACACCATCGTGTAAGTATTGCAAAATATTGCACAGGTAATAAAAATATTTGACTTGATTTATTCTATATAATGCCTGTATTATTTTATATAATGTCTATTATGATCTTAATATAATATATCAGATATAAATATTTCATTTTTAGTATCAAGGAAATGAGAAATTAGATACAGATTTACCGACGTTATTAGAGGCAAAGTTATTTTGTACAACTTTTGGGAAATTTTGTTGGCTATTGTTACAACCATTTTTTTATTCTTTCCGTCCTCTCATAACATATCCAAAAGTACCAACTCCTTTAGAATATATTAATCTTGTGATACAGTTAATATTTGATGGCTATGTGTGGTACTATTTTGGTAAGTTATAAAGCTTGTAACTTTTGGCACAAATTATGAATGATGTTAATTGTGTGGAGAATACTGATAAATCATCAATTGAAAACAAAATGATTTCAGGTGGCAAAGTATTATTTTACCTGCTCATTGGTTCGCTTCTTGCAATGGGATTACATCCTGTTGCAGGACATTTCATATCTGAGCATTATATGTATAAGAAAGGTTTTGAGACATATAGTTATTATGGTCCTCTAAACTTCATCACTTTCAATGTTGGCTATCATAATGAGCACCATGACTTTCCCGCAGTGCCTGGTTCTAGATTACCAGAGGTATGCCAAAAATTAGTACATTGGTTGTGCAATAAAAAAATATAACTGATATAATATATAGAAAAATATATGTTTTTGTATCATATATATTTCTTGTCATTCATCTTGTTAACATTTTTGTACAGGTGAAACGTATAGCTGCCGAATTTTATGATAACTTGCCACAGCATAATTCGTGGGTATCAGTTTTGTACGACTTTGTAATGGATCCTGAAATTGGACCATACGCGAGAATAAAAAGGAAACATCGAGGATTAGATCAATAGATATTACAATTTTTTTAAAACTCGGATGCATTTGTGATGTATTAATTTTCTTGTGCTTTCGTTCAAAAACACAGTTTATGATATGTGATACTCATGTGACACATGAGTTCTTTTAAGAACAAACTGTATAATTATTCATAAATTAAAAAATGTTTAAAATATTGGAATATAACTTGATATTTAGTTATTAAAACATACTATTATCATTTTTATATCTGTGTATATTATCAATATAATATATAGTTAAACATCTGTTGCTCAGGTCGTGCATTGTGTTTATAACTTACACAACACACACACACACACACACACACACACACATATATATATATATATATATATACAGGATGTTCCATTTAAAAAAACACCTCGATATTTCTTCAACCAAACATTTTCAGCAAAAATGTTTCGAACAAAAGTTGTATGATTTCAAGGGGGACATAAAACAGCTATTTTGTTTACAAATGGCACTATTTTGTTTACAAATGGCACCACTTTCGAGATATTCACTGATCATTACTTTTCTTGAATGGATGGTCTTTTTCTATCAATTAATTTAAACAACTTTTGTCTGAAACATTTTTTTATTTGCCTAATATTTTTTGAGATATTTAAGGAAAATTTGATAACTTTCAATATTTAACTCACGATATCTCGCTAACTACTTGTAAGAAAAAATGATACTAGACCTTTTTACCCTACTTGGTCTCAAGAATATATTGTTACAATAGCGTCCTGATTTCTGTTAATTTGATGATTTTGAAATTTCCAAAAGTCAGTAAGTTAACAAAAGTCAGGTCGCTATTATAACAATATATTCTTGAGATTAAATAGAGCAGAAAAGTCTAGTACCACTTTTTCTCCCGACAAATAGCGACATATTGTGAGTTAAATATTGAAAAAGTTATCAAGTTTTCCTTAAATATCTAAAAAAAATATTAGGCAAATAAAAAAATATTTCAGACAAAAGTTGTTTAAATTAAATGGAAGAAAAAGACGGTATAATAAAAAATTAAGATTTCCATTGAAGAAAAGCAATGATCAGTGAATATCTCGAAAGTGATGCCATTTGTAAACAAAATAATATTGTTTTATATCCCCCTTGAAATCATACAACTTTTGTCCAAAACGTTTTCGCTGAAAATGCTTCGTTAAAGAATTATCGAGGTGCGTTTTTGAAAATGGGACATCCTATGTATATACAGAGTGTCCCATTTAACTTGACAAATCGTAATATCTGTTTGTAACAAATTCATTATGCGAAATCACCCCGATGGTGAGAGGCGAAGAGACTCACCTAAAACAAGCACCCCGATGGTGAGAGGCGAGGGGGACTCACCTAAAACAAGCAACCCGAAGGGAACAGAAAGCTACTACGTCCTCGTCGTTGTTCCTGGGTAACGCTAAAAGTAGTTTCTCGGAAAAATTCAACGCTATCTATCACGAATGAAAAAAATTGTTTCCATAAAGACTTCACGTAAAATCTAATTCTGCAATGAAAAATATGGGTTCTTATTTGAGATTTGAACGTTACCACCCACCCTACCTCGAGGGATGGGGGGAATAACTGTTATTATGCTTTTTAAAAATATTGGACAGGTATTTTTTTATTTTTCAATCCAATGATCATTTCTGGAGAAATGCAGAAAATCTAATTTTTTGCGATTACAGCGCCATCTATCACGAATAAAAAAAAAGTTTCGGATGAGACTTACGTATTTTGTGGCGTAGAATCCGAATCTGCAATAAAAAATGGGGGTTCCCATTTAAGATTTCAAAGTTGCCCCCCACTCCCACCCCCCGGGAGTGGGATGGGAGGTCGAGTTTGATATCATTGGATGTCCCCCTTCGAGACAAACAAATTTCATTACCCACTTTTTTTGATCCGACATGTAGTTTTCCAGATATTACGATTTGTCAGGTTAAATGGGACACTGTATATACATAGGATGTCCCATTTTCAAAAACGCACCTCGATAATTCTTTAACGAAGCATTTTCAGCGAAAACGTTTTGGACAAAAGTTGTATGATTTCAAGGGGGATATAAAACAATATTATTTTGTTTACAAATGGCATCACTTTCGAGATATTCACTGATCATTGCTTTTCTTCAATGGAAATCTTAATTTTTTATTATACCGTCTTTTTCTTCCATTTAATTTAAACAACTTTTGTCTGAAATATTTTTTTATTTGCCTAATATTTTTTTTAGATATTTAAGGAAAACTTGATAACTTTTTCAATATTTAACTCACAATATGTCGCTATTTGTCGGGAGAAAAAGTGGTACTAGACTTTTCTGCTCTATTTAATCTCAAGAATATATTGTTATAATAGCGACCTGACTTTTGTTAACTTACTGACTTTTGGAAATTTCAAAATCATCAAATTAACAGAAATCAGGACGCTATTGTAACAATATATTCTTGAGACCAAGTAGGGTAAAAAGGTCTAGTATCATTTTTTCTTACAAGTAGTTAGCGAGATATCGTGAGTTAAATATTGAAAGTTATCAAATTTTCCTTAAATATCTCAAAAAATATTAGGCAAATAAAAAAATGTTTCAGACAAAAGTTGTTTAAATTAATTGATAGAAAAAGACCATCCATTCAAGAAAAGTAATGATCAGTGAATATCTCGAAAGTGGTGCCATTTGTAAACAAAATAGTGCCATTTGTAAACAAAATAGCTGTTTTATGTCCCCCTTGAAATCATACAACTTTTGTTCGAAACATTTTTGCTGAAAATGTTTGGTTGAAGAAATATCGAGGTGTTTTTTTAAATGGAACATCCTGTATATATATATATATATATATGTGTGTGTGTGTGTGTGTGTGTGTGTGTGTTGTGTAAGTTATAAACACAATGCACGACCTGAGCAACAGATGTTTAACTATATATTATATTGATAATATACACAGATATAAAAATGATAATAGTATGTTTTAATAACTAAATATCAAGTTATATTCCAATATTTTAAACATTTTTTAATTTATGAATAATTATACAGTTTGTTCTTAAAAGAACTCATGTGTCACATGAGTATCACATATCATAAACTGTGTTTTTGAACGAAAGCACAAGAAAATTAATACATCACAAATGCATCCGAGTTTTAAAAAAATTGTAATATCTATTGATCTAATCCTCGATGTTTCCTTTTTATTCTCGCGTATGGTCCAATTTCAGGATCCATTACAAAGTCGTACAAAACTGATACCCACGAATTATGCTGTGGCAAGTTATCATAAAATTCGGCAGCTATACGTTTCACCTGTACAAAAATGTTAACAAGATGAATGACAAGAAATATATATGATACAAAAACATATATTTTTCTATATATTATATCAGTTATATTTTTTTATTGCACAACCAATGTACTAATTTTTGGCATACCTCTGGTAATCTAGAACCAGGCACTGCGGGAAAGTCATGGTGCTCATTATGATAGCCAACATTGAAAGTGATGAAGTTTAGAGGACCATAATAACTATATGTCTCAAAACCTTTCTTATACATATAATGCTCAGATATGAAATGTCCTGCAACAGGATGTAATCCCATTGCAAGAAGCGAACCAATGAGCAGGTAAAATAATACTTTGCCACCTGAAATCATTTTGTTTTCAATTGATGATTTATCAGTATTCTCCACACAATTAACATCATTCATAATTTGTGCCAAAAGTTACAAGCTTTATAACTTACCAAAATAGTACCACACATAGCCATCAAATATTAACTGTATCACAAGATTAATATATTCTAAAGGAGTTGGTACTTTTGGATATGTTATGAGAGGACGGAAAGAATAAAAAAATGGTTGTAACAATAGCCAACAAAATTTCCCAAAAGTTGTACAAAATAACTTTGCCTCTAATAACGTCGGTAAATCTGTATCTAATTTCTCATTTCCTTGATACTAAAAATGAAATATTTATATCTGATATATTATATTAAGATCATAATAGACATTATATAAAATAATACAGGCATTATATAGAATAAATCAAGTCAAATATTTTTATTACCTGTGCAATATTTTGCAATACTTACACGATGGTGTTCAAGGTGATATTTCTTAAAACTAATAGACATTGGTACTCCTATTGGCAAATTTGCAAAAAGACCAAACAGTCGATTAGCCATAGGTCTGGCATGTCCAAAGGCAAGATTATGAGCTATCTCATGTACGGCTATAAAACAATATAAATTAAATTACTATTACATATCAGAAATATTAATGTATTATATATTAACACATATTCAATATTTCACAAATTATGATATATCTGTCATATTAATGATAAAAAAATATATATATACCAAGCATAAGGGAATGATTTATCACACCACCAAAACAATATGCTAATATCAAAAGTTTTGGATAACTCAAATCCTTGACTATAAAGAAAGATAGAAATTGTATTAATACCATACAAGTGACTATCCATTTGAAATTTGGATCATATCCAAATAATTTCTTAATTTGTGGATATTTTTCTGAAACAGAGAATATTTTTAACAATTATCCTAAATAATCTGTTATAATGTATTAATATAAATGTTATATATAAATATATATTTTTAAAATACATAAAGTATATGTCAATAAAGTATATAAATATTTTTTTAAATTGTACATAAAATTTGAAGCATCATCACTTTTAACTTCATATTCAAAAACCTTGTTATAAATCTTATTATAATAATGCAATAAGAATCAGTACACAGAAAATTATTATTATGTTTAATTAGAATGAAATGATTTCTACATGAATAATTGCAACTTGATGTAACATCCATCCTTCTGACTTTATTTTAGTGACTCAGACTATATATGCCCTAAAAGATGTTTATCTTTTCTAGTAGCGGTCACGAGATAAGAATCAGTGTTCAATGTAAATGTGAATGCATGATAATTTGTGCATATATTCGAATTCCTTTTTCTGTACCGAGACTGTTGTCTCAGACTATACATGTCCCAAAAGATATTTATCTTTTCTAATAGCGGTCGCAAAATAAGAATGTTCAATGTAAATGTTGATGTAAATGAATGATAATTTGCGCATATATTCGAAGTTCTTCCTTTGTACCAAGAATTATTTTCCGCCGCGTGGCATGCGGTTCCTCCGTATAAACCCACTCGAAATCT